TAGGTTTAAGTTACTGAAAGTCCATAGACAGCACCAAACTCATTTCAAAAATCAAGATCCATCATCTAAATGATCCTCCCCATGCCTCAGTATGGCTGAGGTTTGCTAGCTGCTGATTGGACTTTGCTCTCCTCCCAGCAGTGTCCTTGGTGAGCTGCTCCTCCTTTGCTGCTGGATGCTTGGAAGTAAGGAGTTCCCAAGGTTTACTTCCTCTTCTTTTTCCCTCCTGTCACCAGCCATTCTCTCTTGGATGTTTTAATGTACCCCTCTGGCCAATCTCAACCTCATCAGGCCTTTTATTGGACTTTCTCATGGCTCCATCTTGCAGCCTTTTCCTTTCTCACTGTATTCTCTCTTCCAAGGGGAACTCAGCTACTCTGTGACTTAAGTACCATCAACATGCTGAAAATACTCATACTGGCACCGCCACTTGCACTCCCAGACATACCACCATTTGGATGGTTCACCTGTAATACTCTCAAATCAAAAGCTTCAGCATTCCAGATAAGTTCACTATACTCCAAGGCCTATGTATGTGGTCCCCTTGATGTGGCCCTGCCTCCTTGCTCATTCCACTCCTAGACTTCCCTCCATTCTTCCATTCTAGAGCAGTCCAGCTGCTGCAAACTGAGGACCACTTGCCCATCCCTGCCATAATCTCAACTCTACTCTTTATTGAGAAAGCCCTTCCATAGCCTACAGTCAAATCCTGGCACTCTTTCAGCGCCCAGCTCTAATGCCATTTTCTCCAACCCCTAAAAGAGGCTTTATTAGAGAGGTCAAAGGCTACTAGCCCATTTAAATGTCTATGAAGGCCCAAGAACCCAGGACTTGACTCTGCATGTTTATATATTTGTGAGAACAATCCTTGAAAGAGAGAAACTTTGCCCTGTCTAGGTTAGATCTTAAAGCTACCCATACCTTAGAGTCTTTTCCTTTCTCAAGCCAAGGAGAGATAATCTCCAAGGTTCATACCACGATGTGGGCCTTGGAGAGGTAATCCTAGGCCCCAAAATGGCTTCAACTCACCCACTCCCAGAGGCAAAAGCCAAACAACAAATGGAAACAACATTTATGCTTTTGGAAAATATTCACTAAGTAGGTAGCTATTGGGATCATAACAAGGGCATTATATAATCCTTGCCCTCATGGGGCTTACATTCTCGTAAGAAAATACAGACAATAAGACGGTAAACACCAGTTTAGGTGATAATGTCTGCTTGGCCAGTAAGGGTGACAGGGCTGAGGACAATACTTTCATTCAGGATGGATGTACAATAATTTCATTCAGGATGGATGAGGAAACCTCTCTGACAAGGTGATCAAAGGAAAGCAGAGGCTGTAAGTCACTTTCATCACTGTGACAAAATACTTGAGAAAACAACTTAAGGGAGAAAAGATTTACTTTGGCTCATGGTTTCACAGGTTTCAGTCCATGGTCACTTGCTCCATTGTTTTTGGGTCCATGTGTGGTGAGGCAGAACACCACAATGGGGAGCATCTGATGGAACAAAGCTGCTATCTTCATGGCAGATAGGAGGCAGAGACAGTGAGGGAGGAAGGGTCCATCCAGGGACAAGATCTATCCTTCAAACACATACCCCAATGACCTACTTCCTCCAACTAGGCCACACCTCCTAATAACTCATCAGCTGGCAACCAAGCCTTTAACAAATGAGCTATTAAGGGATGTTTCAAATTCAATCCATATCAGAGGTCACATGACAATTTGGGGGAAAGCATTCCATTTCAAGGGCCAAGGACACTGTATGAGTTTGCTCTTGCTGCTTTAGCACATGACCACAAATGGTATTTAAAGAAATACCATTATTCTGTTACAGTTCTATAGGTCAGCATGGCTGCATTCCTTCTGAGGGCTCTAGGACTCCATTTCTTTGCCTTTTCCAGTTTCTGGGGGCCTCTCCCCTTCATTGGCTCATGGTCTTGCATCATTCCATCTCATTCTACTACTTTGACCCTCCTGCTTCCTTCTTATAAGGGCTCTGGGATGACACTGGGCCTCCCTGGATCATCTAAGATCATCTCCCCATCTCAAGGTCTTTATCTTCATCACACCTGCAAAATCCCATCTTCCATGGAATGCAACATATTCAGAGGTTCATCAATTGCTGACTCCAGGCACTAAGCCAGGAATTTTCCTGGCAGGTTTGAGGCCTTTCAGGCCTATGGGGCTGTTCAGTAAAAGCATGTCTGAGAACTATCAAGGAGGCCAACATCACTGGAACTGGGCAAGTAAGAGTTTAGAAAAGCGAGCTGATACCTGTGAGTTAGCAGGGGTTCATACAAGCCCCTGTGGTCCATGCACAGTAAGGATTCAGGGGTGAGTCAGTAAGAAGCCCAAAAATAAGGTTTCTCAGCTTCAGCGCTACCAACAGACTGGGCCATCCAAGTTGTAGCTATAAGGGTTGACCTCTGTACTGGAAGCTGCTGAGCAACACCCCTGGGCTCTGACCATCTGATGCCAATAGCATTTGCCTCACAGTTGTGACAACTAAACATGTCTCCAGACATTGCCAAAGTCTCCTGAAAACTAAAGTCCTGTTCCCTGTGTTCAGAACCACTACACTCATGGAAAAAGGACCATCAGCACCTGTGCAGCCAACCAAGGTAAACTTTAAACCACATCTTGGATTTTTACACATTCTAATGCAGCCCAGAAAGGCATTTCTGAGAAGCCCATACTGTGCCACTAAGGTGGAAATGCAGGTACCTGGACACTGCACTGTAGCTGTAGTACATTTCCCAGAGTTACGGTGATCTTAAAATAATATTCAAAAATAATGATCAAGTGCAGTGTCTACCCTGAGTGATTTTCTTAAATGCTAAACTTTTCACCCAAATGTATTACTGCAACATTTTAAAAGTTACTTGCTGCATACTGATAACATTTCTAGAAAACAAAGAAATAACTTGCTATGTTTGCTAAATGTCACAGCAACACACATACAATTATGGTTCTAAGTGTAGCTTTTGTGTTTAATACATTACAGCAAATTCCAGCACCCACACTTTCCAGTTTCACTTAGAAACAGGCACGAATGAGCAGAAGACGAGTCAGAAGAAACAATTGCCCCTCACAAGCTCCTGCAAGCTACAGAGAAGGAATGCATGCAAAATAAAGAATGTGACCACAGAGGGAACCAGCACTGGTCAATCAACTTGGCAGCATTCTGCAAGGAAATTTAAAACTTGCTTCAAATGTGTCCTAAAGAACCAGGAAGAATGGAGTTTATCACCTCCTAGCAAACAGAAGGCCACGTTGGTTTAAGTTGGCTCTGTAGCAGGGAGTCAGATGGTTTGTTCTTGCTGCTATTTTTATAGTTTCTACAAAGCTCAAAAAGTTGATTTCCAGACCTTCATGGACTCTACAGTACATTGAGCAGGTCAAAATACCAAACTTCTGGAAAGGTGCCCCTCACCCCACCTGGCATTCTTCTCCTTTTTCCCCCCAAAATAATAAGGTAATATTTCATTTATGACCAAGGAAACTTAGTCTGAACTCAAGGTTTTGCACTTGCTAGGTAGGTACTCTACTACTGCTTGAGCCACACCTCCAGCCCTTTTTGCTCTGATTGTTTGTTTGTTTGTTTGTTTTGCAGTACTGGGGCTTGAACTCAAGGCCTACACCTTAAGCCACTCCACCAGACCCCAGCCACACACACTTTTTTTGTGATGGGTATTTTCGAGATAGGGTCTCACAAACTATTTGCCCAGGCTGGCTTCAAACCATGATCCTCCTGATCTCTGACTCCTGAGTTGCTAGGATTATAGATGTGAGCCACCAGCGCCCAGCTGCTCAATTCTTTTTGAGAGGATCATGTTTTTCGCCCAGGCTAGCTTAGACTGTGATCTTCCTATTTTATGCTTCCTGCCGTAGCTGGGATGACAGGCATGCATTACCACGCCCAGCTTCCTTCCATTGAAATGGGGTCTCATAAACTTTCTTGCCTGGGCTGGCCTAGAACTGTGATTCTCCTGATCTCAGCCTCCCATGTAGCTGGGATGACAGAAGAACACCACGCTGCCCAGCTATTGTTTGAGATAGGGTCTCACAAACTTTTTGCCCTTGCTGGCCTTAAACTGCAATCCTCTCTATCTCAGCTTCCCAAGTAGCTAAGATTACAGGGGTGAGCCACCAGTACCTGGCTAAGGAAACTTCTTAAAAAGGTATATATCTATCATACTTTTCTGAAGCACACATTTTGAAATCATTTGGTTCTAAGACTCCTTCCAGAAGGCACAACAGAAAGTCTCTAGAAAGAGGACATGCAAGCCAGGAAAGGGTCAGAATATTGAAATGGGGTCCCTGAGTACCTGAGGAGAAATGTGACACACTAAAAATATGGCACCAGAAATACTGTGCTGTGAGAGGATTTGGGAAACCTCTCAGCTTGGCCCATGTTCTATTGTGAAGACTAGGAGGGAGGGACAGAGGAATGCACAAACCCAGCTAAATCTCAGTTTGCAGAAGGCAGGTGAGTCATAAGGCAGGTTAACATAGGTGACATCACTTCTCTCTAACAAAATTAAATCAAGTACGTACTGCTGTCACCTGCTGACCAAATACTTAGTACAATGGCTTGTACACTCAGCTTCATGCCTTTCTGCATTGACTCATGGCAGCAGAAGCTATATAGAAAGGACAGTTTGCCACTAGCCTGAGGGACAGATGCAGTCTGTGGGAGGAAAGGGAGGAAGTTTGGAACTACCTGGTATGTTAAAGAAATTACAAAGGTCTCTACTCTTAATGATTCACATCTGTGTAACTTTACAATGTCAAGAATTTCACACTCTAAGTGTACTCAGAAGTTTCCATGTGTATTAAGAAGCTACCTATAAATGAAGATCTTTGTTTTGTATTCTATCAGATACTGCTTCCCAGTAAAATGTAACCAATCACACATGGAAGTGTGCTAAACCTTTTTCCATGGAGTAAAGTAAGTGAGCAGAAGGCATGATTGTAAGAATGTGCTTCTTACCTCTTTCGGGCTTCCTCATACTGCCAATTAAGTCTTACTCGGTCTACAAGTCTTGTTTTATCATCAAAGACAAACTTTCCAGAACACAAGAGAAAAAGAAAGGAAAGATGCATTAAAAACATGTTTTCAAAATAAGAATTCATTTAAACTTTCAGCAAGAACGAAGAATATTCTTTTAACTTGTCCTTCAATTTTAATTTTTCCAAGTCCTAGAAGGGAACACTCCAAATAATATTCTGCTGCCATCTCTGGCTGGTGAGAGTTGGGAGTCAGGCTGGGAAGACTTTCTTCTCCTACAATAGGTATGGCTTTTGTTTGTTAATTAAGGAAAGTATATTTACTTGTTGTGTAATTCCAAATAACAAATTACTCTTTTTTCTTTTTTACTGAGACTGGGGTTTGAACTCAGGGCATTGCACTTGCAAAGTAGGCACTTTGTCATTTGAGCCACAGCTCCAGTTCATTTTGCTCTGGTTATTTTTGAAATGGGGGTCTCCCGTACTGTTTGGCCTGGCTGGCCTTGAACCCTGATTCTCCCCATCTGAGCCTCCCAGGTATCTAGGATTACAGGTGTGAGCCACTGGTGCCAGCTTTTGAAAGAAATAGGGAATTACTTAGTATAAGTTGATACAGAGGCAAAAAATTCATCCCACTTTTTACAGTATGCTAATCCCTAATTAAATACAAAATACAGTTGGTCCTCTATCTTCATGAGTTCTACATCCAAGGATTTAACCAGTGTGGATCAAAAACATAGTTAGATTCACAATGGTTGCATCTGTACCAAACATGGACAACCTTTTTTTCATGACTGTTCCCTAAACAATATTGCATTAGGTATTGTAAATAATCTAGAGATGATTTCAAGTGTATATGAGGAAGTGTGTAGATTATGTGCAAATACCACACAATTTTTACCTAAGGGATTTAAGCATCTCTGTGAATTTTGATATCCAAGAAGTGTCCTGGAATCAATCTTTCACAGATACTGAAGGATGACTGTAATGATGATGTTCTACTAAGTCCCAAGATCTGAAGAAGACAAACTAGTTGCCTAAGGTAGGGGCAAGAAGACATCTTCTAAGGTCACAGGACATGAAAAAGAACCAAAGGTAAAAGGAAGGAAAGTGAGGTCTGGAAAAGCCTGGAACTGGAGAGTATCGCCTTAGAGTTATACTTTAAATGCTCAGAATATGATCCAAAAGTTGTGCTTAAGTATTTTCATATTGATTATGCTGAAAGTAACAGAATCCTGCACTAAACAAAAAACCTAGTTAAACCAAGATAACAGCTGTGAAGCTGCTAACCCAGAGCCAGCCCCAGTAAACTGCAGGGGCTCATAAACCATGACAATTTATAGTAGAGTAGCAGAATCAGCCACCACTCTTGACCTGACAATTTTAGAATGGCTTACTGAAATCATTAGAGAGCCTTTGATCTTATCTCTTTCTCTCAAACCAATTAAGAGCTGTAAATTCTAAATGCAACCTTATAATAAGCAGCAAGGAGTCATTTCCAGAACTTAATGAATCCTGTACTTGCTTCCTTCCTCCAAAATCTTTAGGCAAAAATGCCAAACATTTTTGACTCACAGATTCTTCTGTGTTACAGATGTTGACCATATTCTTTAAATCAAATAACATACCTCATCTAAAATGTCCAAATACACTTTTGATGACAATGAGGGTAAAAATGAAAATAGGATGTGTCCAGGACATTCAAGACATAGTCATAATTTACATTATATTCCTCTCAAAAAGGCACTATTTGCCAAAATTTCAAAATACACACTAATTATTCAAAACTCAGTTTTACACCAATAATTCTCCCTATTCTGCTTTCCTTTTATTTAACTAGGGGATTTGCATTGCGCATTCCATTGATCTTTACTACTAAGTAAAGATTACTAAATCCCTAAGAAAAAGAAGCCCTCCAAACTGCTTTCCCATTTGTTAGCAGATCAATTTCAAATTTCACTCAATAACATTATAATAGTGTGTCTTTGATTATTCACTGCCCAGTTTCAAATGATGATTCTCCTAAGTCTATTTTTGTGTCTAACTCAAGGTTTCATAATTATTAAAAGGTGTGAGGCCACACCTGTACACAACTGTAATTCCAGCTATGTAGTAGGTGTAGGTAAGAGGATCTCTGTGCAAAGCTACCCAGGGAAAAAAATCAGGAGATCCTATCTAAAAAGTCTGGGAGCATATGGCTCAAGTGGTAGAGTGGCAGCGTAGGGAGCACAAGGCCCTGAGTTTGAACCCCAGTCCCTTATAAAGGAGGGCATATGATGAGATTATTCCAAGTCTCAAACAAAACTTCTTTTAGCTCCATTTGATTCCCTGACATTCTTTTAGAAGAAGAAGACATGGCAAAAAAAACCCAGTATAACCCAAGATGGCAAAGCCATAAAGCCTTCAGAAAGAATTAGTCTAAACCAGAGAGAATTATGACCCTGGGACAAGTCCAGCCCCTTGGCTGTTTTGTAAATAAAGTTGTATTGGCACACAGCCAAGCCTGTTCTCTCACATATCACCTAGGACTGCTCCTACACTATAATGAGAGCTGAACAGTCACAGCACAGATAGCCTGGTCTGTAAAGCCTAAAATATTTACTAGCTGATCCTTTATAGAATTTTTTGCCAAGTCATGCTCTAAATAGTCATTATCTGTCAAGAGAACATTTAAACTCAATGTTCACAAGGAATCTGCCATGTTTAAGAATCCTAATTACAAGGCAATAAGCCACTCAGTTACATCCTATGCCCGTGAACCATCACAGCTGGATATGGGAGACACTCTTTTCTCTTCAAACTTAACAGCACAAAAGCCAAAATATTTAGGAAGTGAAAATGGAAAATTAAACCAAATGAGTGACAGCAACACAAAACTAACAACTCTTCTCTCTGGGCACATTTGTTTCTGCCCTGGGCAAGCATACCTCCCCCATGGCATCTGTCTGAGAGCCAGCATCACAGAACTGCTGAGGGATGCCAGAGTCACCAAGCGTGCCTGTGCTGTGAGGAAAATCTTGCAGAGAGTCGGTAATGGAGCAGCTATTCTTGAAGCTGTCAGTAAGCTTGGCCAGGCTCTGGAAGAGAACGAGACAATATCTCTGAGTGGGGATCACAAGGTTTCCTTTCCCTTTAGAAGCAGCCATCTCCTCCCTATTTGAGGTATGTAGCTCTATGACTAGAGAGTTATCCCACCCCACTTTCCATTAGCATTAGATTTAAAATGCACATTTTTCACTGCATACACTTCTAATAAAATTCTTAGTCATTTAAATCAGAGAGTGATTGAGTCCTCTTGGCAGCCCATATTAAAATAGACACCAGTTATGGTACTGCTTTTACAGTTTCTTAAACATTCGTGTCTCCTAAATAAACAAACAAAAAAATAAGCATTCCTATCCAAAATGCTAAAGTGTTTGATCAATAAATGAGTCTGACACAGATGCAGGCCACCTTGACATTTCTATAGATAAATTATAGAAGATGAAAGCTCCAGATGACGCTTACGCATTTTATATCCTGATTTTTCAGTCATAAATCTACATTGTCAGAGGTAATCTCATATGTATATTAGTCTGCCAAAAATTATAACAAATATGCATTTAGGCACATGGAATCTCTTTGTGTGGAAATTTAAGAAAAATCTGATTTTTTACCATTTATTTTAGCATCACTGCAGTCACCAGAACCAGAATGCATAAGTGTGGCAGAACTTGCATAATTGGCTCAAAATTTACACAAAGGCTTCTAGGAAGGAGCCAGTCATGCAGTCACAGAAGTTCATATAACAAAGACAAACAACCTTACTGATTTTGGTGGAAGAGAACTTTGCTCATGTTCTCCCTGGGGTTTCTCAGAGTAGGAGAGACTGTGGAGACCTCAAAGATGATAGTGGGTCTGGAAGCTTCTCCAGAAATTATATCTCCTGCCTCCATGATGAAAAATCCAAGTGAGGCAACTGGATGGCTTTTCCCAGTGATGTACACTCAGTGTGGTTTAAGCAGGGAGTCCTGCTTGATCTCATGGGACACATTATCTGTCTCTAGCATGAAATACCACTTGGTTCACCCTGGGGTGTTGGCAAGGATAACAGACATAGAATATCTTGTTCCAATGCTGCACACAGAGACCTTGGTAAATGGTAGATGCCCTCAGTGCTACCAGTGTCCCTAAAAGAAATCTAGCAATGGACCATTTATCTATCAGGACCTGGAGAGGTCATCTGAAAATACAGATTTCTGAGCCTCACCTCCAAAAATTCTAATTTAATAGGACTAGGCTGGAGCCTAGTAAACTACATTTTAACAATCATCATGGGAACTCTCTGTGTAAGTCCTTAACCTTAGGAACCACTGCCAAGCAAAGTCACTATTTGTGCATCTCTCATTTTTGTTTATAAATCTGGGCTTTGCCTTCTACGTCCTCTGAATCTTACATTCTATAGAATCTAGACGAATGCCTGCTAGGCACTAGGTGCTCTCTTAGTGCATTTATGCTTTCAAAAAATAAAAGCTGTAACAGACAGCAATGAATGCATTCCAGCATCAAGTATAAAGACCAGTGTGTACACATTTGCAAAAGCTCAACTTTTTCTAAAACCAATGAAAGACATAAACGTTAAGGGGCAAAAACATAGAGCACTATAAAGCTATAATGATCCCACCTATATAATTCAAATATATATTCACATTTATTCTGAATCCACATGAATGTTTGAAGGTTATGCAAGAAGAGAATAAAAGTAGTTACAAGAAGTAAAAGGACAGAGCAGTATCAAGACTTCTTACCAGCAACCTTGTGAGTTATTTTGATTAACATCAATTTATCACCCATTGTGTGGGTTGAGCTATGTCCCTCAAAAAGATATGCTCAGGTCCAATCCCCAGAACCTGTGAATGTGACCTTATTTGGAAACAGGGTTCTCACAGATGTAATCTATTGAAGATGAGATCATACTGGATAAGTAGGCACTAATCCAATGATGGGTATGATGATAAGAAGAGGAAATTTGGACATAGAGAGAAGATAAGGCGATGTGACATTGGAGGCAGAGACTGGAGTGATATTATCTGTAAACCAAGGAACACCTGGGGCCACAGAAGCTAAGAGGGAAGGAAGAACTTAACCCACTCCCTGAGCCTTCAGAGAGAGCAGAGCCCTGCTCATATCTTGATTTTGGACTTCTAGCCTCCAGAAGAGGCAGACTAAATTCCTACTGTTCTAAGTCACTTGGTTCAGTCAGTAATTTTTTTTTTGGGTGGTATTGGGGTTTGAACTTGCTAGTCAGGTGCTCTACTACTTGAGCCATTCTGCCAGCCAGTCACTTGGTTAATGGTACTTTGTTATAACAGTCCCTAGAAAATAATATACTTATTTAAATATATACTGTAAGCATTTGTATGTAAAATATACATAAATATTATATATGAATTGCATATACAGTAAATATGTAACATATATAATAAATAAAAGACAGATGGACAAGCAGGCAGGTGGGCTGGCTCTGCAGGGGGCCTCTCAGGCCTTACCTGCATCAGGTCCCGCCGTTCCTTCTCGCCTGTACAAATGGCTTTCTTGATGGTGTGGAGCTCACTCATGATAGCCTGGGCCTCATCCAGTTTGTAGCTGGTGTGAGCACTTGACATCTTCCGATCAATCCTGGTTAAAAAAGAAAAATTAGAGTCATTCCACATGAGACCATAACACTCCTTTAAACAACAACAATAAAATCCCAAAAGCTTCATAGAAAGGTGGGCAACAATTAAAAGCAATGTTTTGTCATGGCCAGGAAAGACCCACAAAACCTTCCTACAAAAACCTAAGACTTGGCTAGTAGTTTGGCTACCTTAGCTCCATGAGCATCCTCTGCAGGGGAAGAGGTCCATGCCCTTTATTAAAAAGCCAGCAGTGAGATCACTGGGCTTGAGTAAAGGATGACATTATACACTCCCTTTTCTGGAAGGAGGACTGAGTCTTCTTTGTTTATCCCCAGCATCCAGGTTAATGGCTAACAATATTTTTGAAAAAAGCCTATGAATGAGATTTGTGTGCAAGCAGGAGTAAATGGGAAACAGCAATAAGTAGTGAGCTTCAACAATGGTGCTTTGTGCAAAAGTTGGAAATGTTTATGTTTCCTCTGTCTCTTATTTCATTCTAGTTCTCATTTATCACTTTTTCCCCTACCTACCCCCTCCATTCTTTACTTCAATACAAACATCCATTCATCCAAAATTCCTCCCTTTCTTCCCTTCTTCCATCCCTTTCTGTCCTTCCCTCCCTCCTTTTATCTATGCATCCTTCCAGCCAACCCATGTACATCCCAGGGCTGACTCGGGGTGGTAGAAGCAGAGTACAGAACAGGACAAGACTTGGCTCCTCCTTCAGAGCAGGCAGCCTCAGAAGCACGTCCTCTGTCATGTCTCCCATACCTAAGTCTCAAGCCTTGGAAGCCCTCAGGGCTAAGGAGCTTGGGAAACATGTCCAGAGATGACATGAATTCCTTCCCTGGAAAGCAACTAGCTTGCTTTTCAAGTTATAGGCCTACCATTACACAGGTTCAGGTGCTAGTGTTTTTCCCACACATTATCCTGAAAATGTGTATCATTAACAGGCAGCCCAAGCTGCCTTGTTTTCCACCACACAAGACCCCTCCTGGCATGCTACCAAGTGGGAGTAGCATTCCAGACCTGCCACTCACTAGCTGTGGGACCCTTCCCCTTTTCCCACTTGTTTCCTGTGTCTCCTATGGAGACAGTAAAAATACCGTTCCCATAGAATGGGTGTGATATTTAAGGAGAAAATGCAAGGAAGGGGTTATTTGCAGGAGACCTGTCATGTAATGTTTGTGATGGCAAATACTATCAGGATAACGTGGAATTTACTTACTCATTGGAGAAAAAGTAAATAACTTGCCAACTCTGCTATTATATTAATAAATTCAGTGACACAACTCACAGCAAAGCTTGGCACCAGAGTTGACCAGAGCTATTAGTATCCTTGGAACAGGAGAAGAGCAAACTCAAGAAGCAGAAAACCATCCCACACATAGCAGGGCTAAATAGCATTGCTGTGATTGCCACCAACTATAATAAAACACTTATGAAGACCGATCCTATGTCCTGTCCCTAAATCCAAGCACGGTCTGACCACAGACACTTCCATAATGGGTCAGTTATAAACTTGTAGGTTCTCAAATACACATTGCCCTGTCTGTTTCTACAGAGCAAAATTCTTTAGTTATCCATTATAATAAAATATATGTATTTCTTTTTTGGAGGCAGTACTGGGGTTTGAACTCTGGGCCTTGCACTTGCAAGGCAAGCACTCCACCACTTCAGCCATACACCTCAGACCAAGGTACATGTATTTTTTAACTATAGTGTTCAACCAAAAGTTAAAATAAGTTAGCAGGAACTAGTTTGGGCTGTGGGCATGGTTTTTCTTTTTTCTCTTTTTTGTTCTCTGCTCTGTCCCTACTCTAGTTCTTTCACAACAGCTTATCCAAATGACTGAGGTAGTTAGCTTTAACTCTAGACTATCTTGGGGATTGTCATGAAATTCAGTGATAAAATATATAACAGGTTCTTCTGGGCATGGTGGCACATCCCCATAATCCCAGCACTCAGGAGGGTGAGGCAGAAGGATGGTAAGTTTGAGGCCAGATTGGATTAAAAAAACCAACACATACACATAAAATAGATTTCCCAGAACAGTATCAGCCCGCCATTTTGTGGCTACTAAAAAATGGACGTCAATAGCAAAAATGGCAGCAGTAGGCATATAAGCCCAGTACATTTTTACAACTCTTGTTTACCCCTCGAAATCAGCCTCATATCTACCAAAATGGCTGGCTTTTGCACTTACTCCTGGCACTTTACCCAGACCTTCAAGTTGAGAGCAATAGTCTGTAAAGTTTCATATTCTACTTTCTTACCTGTCACAAGTTCACAACAAAAATCAGTATCATTTACTGAAACTTTTATCACTGAATGGTGTGGGTTACAGAATGGGGAATCACCAGAAAAAAACATAACCCCCTGGATCCCTGCTATAGGTGAAACTGAGAGATTGCTGATTCAACAACCAGTTCCCAGAAAAAAGGAACCTCTTCTTATCCTACTTATTACTCGCTGATAGACATTATATAATAGTTATCATTAAATTGAACTCCATGGTCTCTGTCTGCACTTGTAAATACCCAGTGACTTGACAGTAGAGAGAATCTTGTGATAGAGAATCCTTTCAGTATGAAATTATTCAAGGACAAAGCAACACCAGGAACAGTGATTAAATTCTTTCAATCCGTGTCTGGTTCAGGAGTTTGGGATGGCAGTAAGGTCCTTGTAGACAGCTATTTGCCTCAGGCTTGGGGTGTAGCTCAATGCTAGAGCATATGATTAGCATGTGTGAGGATCTGGGTTCAATCCTCACCACCAAAAAACGAAACGAAACGAAACAAATGTCTTTTGAGAGCCATTCATCTTATAAAGATCACATAAACACCAATACAGATGATACAAGAAAATATAAAACTGGGAAAGCCCATGTGTGTTTCCATTTTAGATGCTCGAGGGAAAACCAAGAGTCTCTAATCGCTAAAGCAGAAATAAAAGGCTATACCTTTTTTTTTTTTTTTTTTGCGGTACCGGGGTTGAACTCAGGGCCTATACCTTGAGCTACTCCACCAGCCCTTGTTTGTGATGGGTTTTTTCAAGACAGGGTCTTGCAAACTATTTGCCTGGGCTGGCTTCAAACCGCAAACCTCCTGATCTCTGCCTCCTGAGTAGCTAGGATTATAGGTGTAAGCCATCGGCACAAGGCAAGGCTCTACATTTTAAAGCATTAATCCAGCCAAAAAAAGTCACCAAACTTTTCTTGCAGAAGAAATCTAGGTTTATTTATATAATAATGTTTTATATACCTCTTCTGATAAAGGGTTTTCCAATACCTCTTTTTAAATGTCAAACCACAACCCATTTAGGCTGATGAAATCTATAGAGAAGGGATATCACAATTCCAGATGAAACCCTGAAGCCAGAAGTCTGAATGTTCTCTAATAATTAATGAAAAGTGTCTCTGCTAATTGGACTTGTTGATTTTTCCAGGATAAAAACTATAGCAAGCTATCATCAGCTGACACTGACCCCCAAAGAAGAGGAGGGAGCTCTATGGCATTGAACAAAAGTTTTCAATTGCCTGGGAATGGATGCTAAATCAAATACCCTTTGACATATATCCAGGCAACATGGTTAAGGCTGCAGTTTGAGAGGCTAATATCACCCATTCCTATTTTAGACTTGAATGCTATGTATGCCTTATGGCTTTCAGCAGCTACAACACCTAGGAGGGACACTGGTAAACCCAGGAATGGAGCCAGCAGCCTCTTGAGGCACCAGGTTCTAGAAGAAATGACCACCACATCAAAAAGAACAGACTCCAATCCCATGAATGCAAGAAAACCAGCAGCAACAATATCACAGAGCATTGCACAGCCCTTTGGAGAAATAAACTGTGACTTTGAGGCCAGGGACCTGGGTTCTGACCTCAGTTCTAGCCAAATGGCTGTGAGACCTTGGAGAGGAATGAAGAAAACTGGACCAGAGGATAGCTAAAATAGCTGTTCCAAGGGTACTATGACCAGCAAGTCCAGTAGCAGAATAGGAAGCCAGGCGGGGTTCAGGGATCCCAGCCTTGTTTCCCCACAGCTGCAGGGTGCTCTGTCACAGATACTCTGGTTCCACACAAGGAGTCATGTGCAGGGAAGGAAAAGGGAAAAGTATAAAAGCTGCCAGGTACCAGTGGCTCACGCCTGTAATCCTAGCTACTCAGGAGGCAGAGATCAGGATGATTGTGATTCGAAGCCTGCCTGGGCAAATAGTTTGTGAGACCCTATCTCGAAAACACCCATCACAAAAAAAGGGCTGGTGGAGTGGCTCAAGGTGTAGGTTCTGAGTTCAAGCCCTAGTACCGCCAAAAAAAAGAGTGTAAGAGCCACTGGATAGCATAATGTCAAAGTCAGGAATCACTGAAAAACTATTAATAAAAAGTAGTTATTATTATTATATAAAACATTGTTACATGAAAAGTTGTATGTTATTATAGAAAGTTATTACTATATAAAATATACTATTTGATCATATTATGGTACAATTATATGAATATAATCTAAAAATAGTACAATATGTCAAGCTCCTGTTAGATGACAGGGTCTTGCTGCATGTTTTACATTTGGCACTTCATTTAACCCTCTCAACAGCCTTATGAGACAAACATAATCTTCTTAGACTTTATAATGAAGAAGGTGGGGATCAGAGTAGTTAACTAAGTGCCCAGGTGACAAGTTAATCTATAGCAGAGCAGGGATTCAAATCCACATGCCCTGAGTTTGAAGCCTGCACAGGATCACAGAGTATGGTGGTGCCTCTGCCCCTCCTTGCTGGTGCGATATCCACCCCACATCTCAGATCGGCCACTGGGTGTCTGGATATTATTTTTTATAAGGGCAAGTTACATTTGACAGTACTCAAACTGCTTCTATTTTTCAATCATGATCAATTATTATCTAACAAAAACTTCAAAGGGTACAAGACCTCTTTTCTCACTTCTGCAAAATTCACTTATTTGAGAGTTCCCTCTCTTTTTAAAAATTCCTAATAGAA